TCAGGAGGTGGGCCAGGAGCCCTAGGGCATATACATCGTCGATATTCATCGTCTGCATCGTGGCTCGTCCTCGGAACAGTGCACGGGGGGAGGCCAACAGCGGTGGGCTGGACTGCGAGCGGCTGGACTGCTGGATCACTGTTCACGTGGACTCCGTGTCCATTTGGTCCAAGCTGCAGTCGGAAGATCTCCAGGCGCTTCTGTGGCATCGGGTCGGGTCAGGGCCACCAGCTCGTAACTGGCAAACACGAAGTCCACCAGCCACAACCGCCCGGAGAATCCAGACCCTCAAAATGGGAAGAAGGGCGTTGGGTTCTTCGGGTCGTCGACCCCCTGCAATCGATCCGGACGTCGGGTTCCGCTCTGTCGGCGGAGTCGGGATCCGTTCGGCGTTCCGCGGCGTTCCGTTCTGCGGAACGATCTCGTTCGGAAACCGTAGATACCAGGACCTTCCGAAGCTGAGGTGTCTCTGGCCTCGTAAGACGAAGTGATTCGGATGGTGATTCGGAGTCTTCCAAAAGCACGGGGCCAAACGGAAGGTCCTGGTATACTGATCGTTTCACACCAAAAAATCGCAAAGCTCCGATATATTTCCCCCACCGCCCCACAGCGAACCACCACAGCCTCAAGCCTCACCTTTTCCCAAAGCCCCCGCCTTCTCACAGGCCATCCGGAAGGCCTCTTCGCTAGTGGGCCGCAGGGCCACCAGGTGGTAGATCGGCCTCTGCAAGTGCATCGACCGGGGAGGTTCACGGCATCCCCAACCACGTTTTTCCAGTGAAACGTATTCACTAAAACAAGCACCTTCCGAAATCCGACGTACTCCCCAACCACGTGGTACGCTTCCACCGAAGCACTTCTCGCGTAAGCAGCAGCTTCCACACCCTCCGAATTCGCCTCAAAGCAGCTGCTTTGCTGCCCATGGCCACCTGCCCCATGTCGCTGCAGACCAACGTGAGGCCTGGGCCACTGGGATCGAGGCTTGACCGACCAGGCCCCGGGAGGGGATCCATTGGAGAGAATGGGGGCAAGGTCGCCGCAAGGTTGAGCAGCAGGGCTGTTCAGGATGGAGACCAGGCGACATGAGTATTATACAAAACATATATGTTATGATATATATATATATATATGTATTTATATATATATATTATACAAACTATATGATACAAACATGATACAAGGTGTGTTGAAAAAAACGTGAGGGAAACCGGGCGTTCTTCATTCATGTGTCTAGCAGTCAAGCAGTCTAGGAGTCACTGTGAAAACCATCGGTCGAGCGTCGAGCGTCTGACTTGGTCCACCGGTGCGGGTGACGTCGGCGACCCGGTGGGAGACAGTGGGAGACGGCCAGTCTGGTAGCTCGAGATCTGGAGGTTTCAAACGAGCAGCTTCTTGTTACTAGTAAGGCCAGGAGTGCCCCGTTCGTAGCGCGCTCCGTTCGTAGCGATGCCCTTTCTTACTAGTAGCTTCTTGTTATTAGATGGCACAAGCTACCCCAAGTTTGGTGATCTGTATGGACCCCTCCCAATCTGTCTACGACGTCTTGGAGTCTTGGGGTGCCAGTGCCATCTACTCTAAAACCAGTGTGCATTGGATTCCGATCGCAGAAAATTACCCAAGTCGATGTCTGTAAGTGTTTGCATCCTTGTCAACCAACTGAAAGAGGTGTCCATCCTTGTTATCCCATCGCTTGAGGACGAGCTGACTATTTCAACAGTCAGTAATTAGTCCTTAAAGAGGAGCATCTAATATAATCGTATATATATACATTATTATATATTATATACACGTTACACATTCCTATAGCCTCTACAACTTAAACTATATAAAACATCTATAAATCATACCTTGTCAAGATTCGTCGTTCGCATACCGTGTCCTCCCATCCCAATCCCTTGAGAAAGAGCATCGGTCTCCGGACCCCTGACATCTCTGCACGGACGGACGGACGTCCGGCGGATGTCCGGCGGAGCGGCGGTGTTTCAACACGCTGTGCACGGTCGCCCGTGGCGCGCTGGCTGAATTCTTCCCCGTCGTCACGTCAAGCTGTGACCCCCTGTTCCACTCCATTCGGGCTTGGCTTTGAAGTGGCGGCTGTTCGACGTCCACTCTGACTGAGTGATGGCGCTCGAGCTCCGGACCTCGGTCTGCAGAGCTCGGGACCTCGGTCTCTCGCGTTGCGAAGCATCTCTGTCGCTTCGTATCTCGAGGCTCGGCGAAGGAGTGTGGGCAGGCGGTTGCCTCAGTGAATTCAAATCATGATGATCCGTGCGGGTTGAGCTCTTGCGCATAGAAGAAGATCACCTGCTCAAAGATCTCCTCCCTGCCATCCAGGGGTTGGATTTCCGTGATCAAGGCGAAGACTTGTGAGTGAGAGGAGAGCACTCTGTGAAGATGCGATGTACCACATTTGGCGAAACCACCCAACAAGCAACATGTGATGCTCTCTTTGCCTGCGACCACCAGCGACCACCCTCCGGATGACCCGCAACGAACCAGTCCAAGCACAGCACGTCCCGGAGCTGTTCTGGTGGCCTTTTGCGTCACGGTGCGTTTAAACCTGAACCTCTTCCTCCTGTGAACATCGCGTGCAGGCACCGGTGCCGGAATGGCGTCACGTGGGCGTGTTCCAAAAAGGTGGGGAACAACACCGTGGTGGGCCAGTGCTAAGGCGGAGCGACAGAGGCTCGAGCTGAGTCTCGATCGTTTCAGTTTTCGAGCGATGGCGCCACCAAAACTTGAGGGGGTGGTCAATATGCGTTGTTCTTTGCAGATCTGACAAATCATGCGTTCACGTCGTATTGAAACTCCATACCAACCAGTCTAGCCACATACTGTAGACTCTTGCTGAATAAACCGCCTCCATTCGGATGGTAAGACCTCTTCCTATGTGGGGTGTCGTCAATCAAGAGTCCACAAAAAAGACCCATTTCGACCTGTGAGCCGCCCAGCAGATTTCGACACCTGCGAACGCTCTTCAGTCGCTCGATTTCGGGACCCAGATCGCGTAGATCGGCCTTCGCCAAGAGCGAAAGGAGTGGGTCATGACACGCGAACACCTGGAGCCTGACCGAACATAGAGCCATGTCAGAGCCAAGTCAGATGGTGGAAGCACCTACTAAAGCTTTAGGTTGCTCTAGGTGTTGCACCGCCATGGCTGGCAGTAGCAAAGGATTATGGACTCTTGATTCACAACCCTCCCCCATGTGGATTGGAAAACATCTTCATCAAGAGTCTACATGGTGCCCTGTGACCACCGATTGACGCATCGTTTCGCTTGGCCATCCTGCGACGCAGAAGCAGCAGCCCAGAAGGCTTCTCGGGCAAACCTCGGCAGGGGCTCGGCGGCTCCAACGAAAACCGACCTCGGCTCCGGTCGAAGCCTCGGCTGTCACAGGGGTTGGTATCCTCAAAAACCCTTTTCGAAGATCCGGATCCTGCCCTGAACAAGGACCAGACGTTCATCTCGAACATCAATTTCGCACTCAGCTAGTAGGTCGACCGCTTCATACCAAGCCGAAGACGTCTAAAACTGGCGCAGTGCCATGGAGTTGTGAAATTGGAGCATAATGTACAATGTAGACTCTTGATGAATAAAACCCCCTCAGTTGAATTGGACATCCTCTGTGTTGCCCCGGTGCCCTGGTGCGACTGAACACCGGGTGGGATCACCAGAGTTCCATGCTTCGTTCTCATTGCGCCGAACGAACGATCATCCAGATGGAAACCGTTCTGGAGGTAGGCGGGGTGCTCCGTCTGAACCCCTCCACTCGGCCACAACTCCAACACAACCCCTATGGGACCCACCGATGAGACCCCGGTTGGGTCTCTCCCAACACCGGCGGAGCGGCAAAGATCGTCTGCCAGCGACTTCCAAAGAGGCCCCTGCCTGGTGGACTCTGGACGACGTGGCTGGTTTCGACAGTCGAACTGGTGGTAGAACGGTCTGACTACCACAAGTGAGTAGTAAACACATTTAAAAAAAAGATGCCAAGGAGTCTGCGTACCTGCGTGCCAAAACAAAAACATTGAAAATTTGATTGGACCCGAGGTATGGGTTAAAATAGAACGGTACCTACATGGTGAACGGATGATTGAACCATCCTGCCAAGATTGGTCTAACATGCTCTCCTCTTTGCGATGCTTGGCTGAAAATGGACACTCACTGCTTCAATAAACCTCGCTGTTCGTGCTGCTGGCTTAGGAATTCCTGTGGCCAGACCTGTGATATAGAAAAAGACTTGAAGCTGAGCCTTTCCTGTCCCTTTCACGAGGAGTATGGCTCATGTCGCTTCTCATGATCAGGCCCAGGCCCAGAACGGCCGTGATTTCGTCCAACAAATTCTGAACCACCCTCATATGGAGGGACCGGACCCGAATCCTCTGGAGGGGTCTGAGGTCAAACCAATCCCTCATATTGAACCGGTCGGAAGTCCAAACGGAAACTCTCAGGTGTGAAAACGCTACGAACTGCTTGACTTGACAAGTGGATGCTGCTTTTTCTGTGTCTGGGAAAAAAAAGAATCATGGTGTGTGTCCCTTATGGAGGCAAGACACACCGCGGATGCACTGCTGACGCTGGGAAGTACCACCGGGCACCTCGGGGCGGGACGACCGACTGACCGACGACCAGGTACCCCGGCGTAACTGATGTCCGGGTCCTCAGGTCCTAGTTCAGGTCACTGAACCTCTGTTGGATGCACGTCCTAGAACGATATGGATGGAAGTGGATGGTTTTTGATCGAAAGGGACCGACATCGGGTTCGACAGATCGGATCAAAACAACATAGTCAACTATTCACTTCTCCCCATGGAAGTCCGTCCATGGGAGAACCGGACTCGGGTACATGCTCATGTCATTCTTGGCCTTTGTTGGCGTCCGGAGAAAGGCTTCACATCCACCCCGGTCTGGGATGGGGTCTCACCCCCCACCTTTTTTCGGACCCCAGCTCGTCTCCATATACGGAACTCGTGGCCTGTTTTTGGGAGTCTAAAACGATGTTACAATGATCTTTAGGTGAGCTGAAAAGAAACGTCCTTTACTTCAGTCGATCAAACTAATTTTAGGCTTTGGACTTGTAGGGCTGTGCTTTGCATCACAGGTTGACATGTCTGGAATCTTGCCCTTTCCGTATGTGGTTTCCAGAGAAATCATGGCGAAGCCTCCGGACATGTTGTGAAAAGGAGGGCATTTCGCCGGACAACCGAATCAACAAAAGGACCAGCTGACGGGGAGCATGCTGATTGCGCATGCAGCATGCTAGCATGTCCAGTACATTCCAGTACTCTTGGAGATGAAGCTTCAAGAACACCGTTCCGTTGAACAATGAGTTCCAACGTTCCAACTTCGTTCTCCAGCGTCACTCGTTTCTTCGACCTCCTCGTTGCTCCGACCCGTCCCGCCCGTAGCCGACCACCTTTTGGGGCCGCCTTGGACCGACCGGTTCGCGCGCTTCCCTTCGTGTCTTCTTCGCTCCTCACCGGGCGGTCGCGGACCGAAGAGCTGGGATAGCCGGGACGATGACCATGTTCAGAAAGATCACACCCCAAATCACCCAAAAGTATCAGATATGAATATGAATCACAGGCAGTAGATACGGTTGCTTCTGCTTGGACCTTCACTTTTCTTTCTTTCGCTTCTTTCAACGACTCATCGGCCACCGTCCACCCACCCCGGTCGTCGGGTCGGTCGACCAGTGCTCCCCAGCCCCCCCAGCTCCTGCCGCATGCTGCGCGCGTCCTGCCCCTCTAGGGAGGGGGGGCCATCTCCACCGGTGGTGCTGAGGGCCGCATGAATCTCTTGGAAGGATGGCAGTTGCTCCGGATCTTCAGCTCCACATCGCTCCCGCCACACCTGGAAGGTGGACCGAGTTCACGGGAACGGTGGGACGGTCGGGGTCCAGTCTGCCCGGTCTGCCTCCAACAAGGACGAAAACAGAGTGGGAATGGGTACCCGCTGACTCGCTGACCATGTATGTTCCTTCCAATCACCACCCAACCTGGGTGGTGTTTGGGGATTTATCAAGGTGTTTGACGTTGAAAGATGTTGAGTTCGAATGAGTGATAGACTATGCTACACAAAAAGCATGTTTCTTGAGTTGTTTCTTTGTTTTTCATGTTGGGGGGCTATGCGATCTTGGGGGCTATCCCTCTCACAGGAATCACGCCCATGTCCCAGGCACAGTGTTCCAGAGCGTTTTTCAACCTGGGTTTTGGCAGACATGACCTCTGTTTTGAGACGAAACGACCATGGGTGGTGGTTGGTGGTCCAAAAGAGGTCATTCAGGTTTGACTAGGAGCATGGGATGGACCCGTTTCAAGGGAATCGGGTGGGATCATAGCCACGGTAAGATCGATTCCATTGGAGTGGTTTCAACCAATTCTGGGTTAATCCGGAACCATGCAGATGAAAACCCCTACGCTCGCATCTTCAGGCCACGCGACCCCTACGACCTCTTCCCCCGTCCTCGACCGAGGGAACCACCTCGGGTTCTGCGATCTCCACCCGTTGCCTTCAGCAGCTCAATGGTTCGTCGTTCCTCCTCGGTGCCGGGAGGCACATGGCATTCCAGCAAGTCTTGCAAGAGCCAGCCAAAAGAGCGCACCTCCAACCTGGCGTCTGGCGTTGGTCCGGTGAAACACCGATCGGTCATGTGGAGACTTGTCTCCCAACTCAGGTTCAGAATTCGCCAGTCTCCCATGACGTTGCGGTATTCTAGGTCTAATCGTTATAAATTAGATTGTCCCCTCAAAAAAAGGACAGGTTCCCTCCAAAGGGAAGCCTTTTCTTCGAGTGCTTCGAAGCACTCGAAGATGGTTGGACTTCGCTTCCCAAACTTCTCTGGACGCAAACAGGGGGGTTCAACTCCACCTCCGTGTGATGTGTTCGTCCAAGTGCACTCCGGCCACGTCACTCTGACGTGATTGATGTCTGAATGACATATTCAAGACTGAACGACTATAAACATGCACCTTCCGTAATCCAAGGGTCTCCTTGCTAAACTAGTACTACACGTTACTTGTGGATCTCCATGTTTAGCACCCCGACATGAAGCTTGGGTGAACCATCGGAGTTGCCGGTCTTGGGACCACTCGGGACCACGGCCGTAGCACGGACGCCGAGTCGCGTGGCCCAGTGGGTCAACGCACCAGTTTAACCCGTCTTTGGACTTGCTGGGTATGGTGATGTGATATGATGTGATATGGTCAATGAAGCAAAGAGTCCCGGAACAGTTGAATCATCTTTTCCTTCTCAGAGATGCAAGGCCAGTTTGAAGGCACCTTCAGAACATTCGAGTGCATGTTCAATCATTGCAGTGCTCTTTCATCGCGGTGTGAATTTGGAGAATAGCCGTTGGGTCCTGCATTCAAAAATTACATTTTGTAGTCCTAAGGCCCTAACGCCAAGCATTAGGGGAATTCACACCAGGATGCTCGAAATTCACACCAGGGACAGAACACCAGGATGTGTTAGCCGTCCATATTAACCTTACAAACAAGTCTCCAAGACCAGGTGGTATACCATCCAATACTAGTATTCGACCCGCCACCTCCGCAGCTCCGCGGCGTCCACCGCCGCACAGGCGCCGAAGTCCGAGAGCCGCGCGTCGGCGAGCCCGCCGGCGCCGGCGCCGAGCCCGTCGGCGCTGGGGGACGACGTGGAGTCGGTGAGGATCACCAAGGTGTTGTGGAGATAGATGTCCTCAGAGGTCAGTCCGATGTGGCCATGTCGGCCGCTCAGAGCTCCGTCCGGAGGTCGAACCATCAACCGGGGGTGTTGACGTCGACTTGTAAGAAAGAGATCCCCTTGGTTTGAATAGGGAGATCTCCCTTGTTTGTGTTGGTTTATCCTTCTTCCAGACAGATCAGAATGCCTGGGTGGTCTTCTTATTGAAATACACAACATCTGACTTGCAGGGAAGAACTGGACTTTGCGGAGACCGGGTCGTCTTGCGGAGAGCCGGTGTCAAACGGCGAAAAGCTCGTGTGGAGACGCCACAGACCGAGTCTCGCCTCGACGCCTCGTCCACCGAGTCATGGGACTGTTCCGGTGGTCCAAGGCCTCTGAGGCCCCGGGGTTTTAAAAAAAAAATGTAAAATTGGGGTTCTGGGAAAATGGGGGTTCTGGGGAGTTTTGGTTCATCAATCACCTCGTTGAATGTTCTTGGCTCTTGAACATTTGTGCTGAGCCTTTGTCGTTTTTCTGGGGTCTTGTTATGCGTGTTTTAGGTTCATAACTTTCACTATCATTGCTATAATTCAACGAGGTGGATGATTGATTAGGTTGTTGTGTTTTGTTTTGTGGTGGGGTTTTTGGGCTTGGGGTTTATATTCCCATAATGCCAGTTTCATCATCCTGTTCCTGCCACACTTGAGCCAACTAGATACCATATAACCATATAAACAGTCAGAATGACACCGTAGAGTTTGCTTGTGGGGTCTCTCTGCCACCGATACACCCCGACTGAAAAAAACTACTCCAACAATCTTGTATATATATATATCAAAATAGAATGATAAAAAATCTTGGGTAGGTAGTGAGTGTGGGGGGTCGCGTTTGGAAATCCGCTTCCCCACCAGCACTCACTCCTCCCTTCTTCTCTTCTTCGTCCTTTCTTTTTTGAATAAATCAACAAGTAAAAAATACTTAAAAAAACAACGCCGACGCCCACGCATCCCCCGACCCACTGAAGTGGATGAAGACCTCCCTTCTGACCAAGCAGGACGAACGATAGAACAATAGATAGGTAGATAGATAGAGAGATAGATGTATATAGGTCAATCCAATCTACGATATATTTAGTGAACTTAATGGAAGTGTTTGCCAAATGTCAGGCTTTGAGAGGCTGCTTGGACAAGCCACTTCTTCCACTGTTCAAGTGTCAAACTCTGGAGTTTCTTAGGTTAAGCCACTCTGTCCAAGTTCTGGTTTATATACTTGGTTCTGGGTATCATTGATACTTGGATACTGGTATCGGGGTATC